CAAAAAATTGATACAGGTTATCAATGTGGAACTTTCTTACGTAGATACTTTTTACACCTCTATATTTTACCTTCATGTGGAACTTTCCAACATACATCTTCAGTATACTATGCAACTTTGAATCAACATTATTTCTCATTTATGGGTAAGTTTATGTTCACGGGAATGACGGTTTTGCTAGGAAATCTCTCTATATATAACTAATATTTTTATAAAAACGTCATAGTTTATATATGTGGTTATTATGTGCAGGTTCCCACTTCAATTCCCATTTAGTCAACATCATGTTATGGTTCAAAGTCTCCAAATGAATCCACAATATGATATTCAATGTTGAAGCTCAATTCATATATGCTTTGTATATAAGCTTTGGCTGTCGCCATCACAAAGCAATAATAGAAACGGGTGAAACTGTTGACAACGATCTCTGTGGTATTGCATGCCGTGGCTAAGAACAACGTTTTGCACATCGATAAGACTGATAATGGATAAAGAAAACGAGAAACAAAATGCATTTATTGTCAAATAGCGTCTTCATTTGGATAGACTGAACAAAAATTGGTTCACATCATGTCACTGATTTAGTAACCAGTCAAATATTAACATCCGATGTGATTTATATTATGGGGTGGTAGATCAAAGGTCTAACTCAAAGCCAAAACCTCACAATTAATTAGAGGATTCATCTCAACACTTTATAACATAATTCTACAATAACCGATCATTTGGGAGCACTAATGCGATCAACTATCAATCCCATCATCGCATGGATGACATCTCTTAGCTGCAGTGAGATTATAATGCTTTTTTGTTGCAATGTATCTATACAAGCTGACACACTTTTGAAGTGTAATGATTTAGAGTTTGTTTCAGTGGCTGTACCTAATTGCCATGAAAATTATAGAAAGAGTTATTTTATTTTATTTTTATTTAAATAAATAAATAAATAACATGATATTATTAAAAGATATGATTGATTGTCGGTATAAAAAAACTTTATATTGGCCGAATATGAATAATTAACGAAATGGGTCAATCGAAAGCATGAATGACATTATTATATTCTTTTAATTTCTTTTTGGTCTGGCTAGTAATTATATACGCATTCAACAATTGAACATGGAATTGAAATCGATGTTTCAACTGGTTCTTCTACCCGATAAAGATATGCTTAAAAATTTGTAGGGATGGGGGGATAGAGCTCTTAGACCATTAGGTATACGTACGGTAATTAACTAGGTCAAAAAAAAGCTGTTCCAAGGTGGTCAGTAGATATAGTAAATATGTAGGTCGAGGTCATGCGTTATATCACAAGAATGAAGGAGAATGGTTGTCAATTTTTAGATTGGTATGTTAGCTCATTAATTAATTAAATTGCATTTCGCGTTTTAGAATCATTTGATGTATATATATTTTGTAATCATGATAATTGTTAGCGTGAATGTTATAATATTTGTTGGGATACAAATTATAGAGCTTCCAAAATAAATATATTTTTCTTTTAATATAATTTATTGATTAAATTATATATTTAATCTTTTTATTTATTTTTAGGATTAAACTTAGTCTCATTATTTTTAAAATGTTCAATTATTTTTTAATTTTAAAAAAAGTTCAATATTACCTTCTTCTTTTTTTTCAAATTTTCATTATTGACATCGATGAAATTAGATGAAAGAACTATTAATTTTTTTTTAAAATTATAGGATCAAATTAATTCAACATTTTAAAAAATAATGAAATTAAATTGAACATTTTAAATGATTTAATTTAATCATATAATTCTTAAAAAATATTCAAAGTTACCGGCCTTCCATCAAAATTTATTAACATCATAAATGTCAATTTAAATAAAAGGATAGGATTGAATAGTTTTAAAAAATCAGAGAATCAAATTGAACAATTTAAAAATAGAGAGAACAAATTGAACCTTAAAAATAAATAGAGAAACAAAAAATATAATTTAGCTTATTTTATTCATAGACAAAATTAGGATTTTAAATTTCAGACAACTTGATAAAAAATAGTTGTTACCACATGTGTCGAGGAGTGTTTTTGTTGGTTATTTTTTTTATGTTGACTAACTAAAATGAGAATAGAAGACAAATCAAATGCCACCTTACCATTTCCACTGTTAATTTACCCCGAAAAATTTCAACAAGCTATAAAGGATATTAAAAAACGATACTTATTTACATCATTGACCTTGCCCCACTATGATAACAGCATTGTTTATTTTTTGCGACCCTCAAAAAAGAATAAAAAAAAATTTACAGCTCTCGTCTTAGATTGCTTAATTATGTGTGTAGTATCTGTGTGCCTTTCACAAAAATCAGTGTAATCACTAATCACCCTCCAAATTACTCTTAGTATATATTGTTGACCTTATAGTTTAAGCATTATACTCCTCTCATTCTTTTTTCATACCATCATATGCATATATTAATATGTATATGGTTCTTTGCTATATTCGGAAAGGTATGATGATATCTGCGTGATTTTCGGTCTAAGGTCATGGAAGGACTTAGAAAGGCAAACCAACAACAAAGTGAAGGAACCGTTTGGGTAGCCAAAAGAAGAAACATATTCGTTTTCAAATTAATGAAATTATATATATGCTTGGGCTTGGCCCCCCCCACTAAGTAACTGGACATTAATTAGAATCTTGTGCATGCTACGTACCCTCCCACACACTTAACCTAGTCACATTCGATTGTGCAAGTGTAATTTTGTATTGCTTGGTGATGTGTACTGTATTGACTTTTATAGAAACATGTTTCTCCTGTGCCATCGCGACAAGAATAATGTCATGGTGATTTAGGCCCCGTGAATTCAAGCAATAGTTGGTACAACGGACAAGTTTATATGCTTCTTACGTTGAACTTTGTCTAGAATGCAATTTTGGAAGAATTAATGTATGACAAACGGTACTCAAAAATGTCATAATTCGATTCATCAACCTCATATGATGGTTTACAAAAAGAAAAACAAACAAACCCATATGGGTTCAGTTAATTTAAATTGATTGTCAACATTAACCTTTATATATTGATTGTACGTATAGGATATATGCGCATAATTTGTACAAAAATTTAATAAACAATTTTTGTTGTTGTGAGCACTGTTTATATTTAAATAAGGTTTTGCTAATTTTTCATTGAGGCTATATTTATTTATTTCATAATTATGTGTATTTTTATTGAAATAGTGTGTAATATTATTGATGCATGTTAGTGCACAATATTCTTTCCTTTCCCCATGAGTCAAATGAAAATAACTTCATTGTTTGAAAGTTTTGAACGATATTTGTTTTTCCAAAAAGAAGTGTGTCTAATATCAATAAGGAGTAGCTTACTAATTAATATACTCTTTCTAACAGTAAAAAAAAAGAAAAAAAAAGTGTGGCGTATATTATAGATTCTCACAATAAACATTTGTTAATCTACAACTACTTATTATTATTAATTTCTTTTTTATTTTGAGGACATTAACAAGTTATATCATACACGTATTTTATGATATTTCTAGTTATTATTTATTAATTTATTTTAACTAAAAATAATATTAAATGAAAATTAAATTGTAATAACAGAACTGTCATTAAAAATTAAAAATTTATAAATAAATTTTAACTTATAAATAATTTATTCGTTTATTATGTGAGTTGTATAACAATAATTTTTTTTTAGTTTTATCTACTACATATACTTATAAATATAAGTATTTAAATTTTACTAACATTAGATATTTATAGGTAAAAATAATTTTGATTTTACTTTGCCATATGTTTATAAAAACAAATTTTTTCATAAATATAACTCATTTTTCTTGTAGTGTACCAAATTCGTATATTCGTACTTAACTAAACAAGAGGGATATTTTTTTTTTCTTTCATTTTCTCCTATATTAAACAACCTAAAAAAATCATTTCATTTTCTACTCTATTTCTTTTTTTTGCGTTCCTTTTCTTCCACTATCATTTTTCACTTTCTTTCTTAAATCAATGATACTATTAAAGAGAGTCCAGTTTGTTGGCACTCGTATATGATATAGAACTGACGTGTATATTTTATCGTATGGTTAATCTTTAATTAGCAGCATATGTCCAATTTTTTAATTTACGTGAAAGTGTTATTTATACCATATATTTTAGTAATTATTATTTTGATTTTGATTTTTTAGTAAACTTTTATATCTTATATATTTTTTAATTTTTAATATTTATTTATGTATAATTATTAAAGATATGAAATACTTGAATCTCTCTAATTATTTATTAATTACATAGAAATTAACTAGCACCGTAAATATGTGTTGTTTGGTACTATACAATAATTTATATATGATGGGAAAAGGGGACGACAAGGATAGTTATTTGATGTATCTTTATTCCTGCTGA